ATATTTTGCATGAATATGAACGTCACTTCAGCTCGTATGTGGTAGTGAATCACATGGCCAGTGAAGAGTCTACTAGCTACCTGGTACTCGCATCTCAGCAAAGCTTTGTTCATCTCTACTTACCCATCTCTCACGAAGGAGCTGAGGAAGCTGCTTATGTTTTTTAATGGTAAAAACTGCATTTCGTAAGGGGGAAATATATATATGTGTGTGTCAGTTTTGAAACTCTTTTTCAAAGGTTCAGGGCATATATTTCACAACTGTCACTCTTCTACATGGTATAAACTCTTAAAATAGTATCTCTATGGAGAGCAGGAAAAATACTGGTTTGTTAAAGTTATCAGATCACCTTTATATACTATATAAATTTAATTTAGCTAAGTAGTAGTTGGGAAGTATGCATAAGTTTAATACTCACTTTTACTCTTCCCCAAGTAAATATTATGTAATTATAAAGTTGACACACAATAAGTTAAAAAAAAATGAAAAAATAAGTCACAGTTCTATTTCCTCCTGAATTCCACTCCTGAGATAATCAATGTGAACAGCACATTATATGTTATTTACGGATTTTAATTCACATTTTTTAATCTTACATAAATAGAACCACTCCACACATATACTTCCATGAACATGTTTTTAAAATATTTTGTAACTATGTTTCTATGGCATGGCTATTAATCAAATTTATCTTTCTTCCTATATAATACAATTTATTAAACTAATGCCCTATTGGTGGACATTTAAATTGTTTCCGATTTTCTGCAGTAACAAGAGTTTTAGTAGGTCTAAGGAAATGCCTATTAAAAGTGGTGATCACCACCCTCCAAAAACAACTGTACCAATTTATACTCATAACACCAAGATGAGAGTGCCCACTTTCACTAAGAACAGATATTATATCTTTATCACTTTCACCAATCTTGTTTTACTTATATTTTCTTGAATATAAGTGATTAATATTTTTTCAAATATTTTAATGACCATTTGTATTTCTTTTTCTTATTCATATACTTTGCCCAGGTAACCTTTTTCATATACATTAGAAATATTTGTTTCAAGTTTATCATCTCTTTCCACTTTGTTTATCGTCTTTTACCATTATGCAATTAAATTTATAAATTTTTTCCCCTTTATGGGGCCTGGCCTTGGTGATGTACACAGAAAGATCTCTATGACAAGATCATAAAGATGTTTTCCTATAGTGTCCTGTGGTTTTATATTTCATATTTACATCTTGAAACCTCCAATTAATCTAGGAAAAGATGTGAAGGATGAAATTAATGTTTTCCCAAATTTTCATTTATACTAAGACCATTTATTGACTAATTTCTTTTCCCACCGATTTGAAATTTTTTGTCATATAATAAATTTCCATAAATGCATTTTTGTACACAGCACCTGCTATATTAGTAGTTCTAGGACATTTCCTACCCTGTTTCTATCCTGCTCCTTTATCTACATTTTTAAAATGTCTTTAGCTCCTCTTGAGAATTTCTGCTTACAGAGGAAATTTTTGAACAAATTAGAATAAACTTAGGGAGTAATTTGGGAGAAAACTGACATCTCTACCATGTTGGGTTTTCCCATCCAAGAGTATGACGTGGCTCTGTTTATAAATGGACAGATAAAAGCCTGAATAAAATTTCATTATTTTCTTCATCTAGGACTTACATATTCCTTATTAAATTTATTCTTAAGTACTTTTGAGTTTTTACTGCTACTGTGGATAGGATCTTTTGCTACGCATAGAAAAGCAATTGGTTTTTGTCTGTTTATTTTCTATTTGGCCACTTTACTAAACTTTCTGGCTGTATGTTTAGAATGTATTTATCAAAGTTAATACCTGTGTTTGAGTAAAAAAAAAACTGAGGACTCCTAGAAGAGCAGACCTCCTGCCCAGTCTTGCTCTCCATGACAAATAATTTTCCAACTGATTCTCTTAAAATATTCTAGGTATACAATCATCTGCAAATGTAAACAATTTGGTCTTTCCTTTTCCATGAATTATTCTTATCTCTTTTCCTAGTCTGTTGCCTTCTTCCTCCAGCAGAGATTCTGAGTGATCTTGTCAGTAGCAGGCCTCCTGGCTTACTCCTGACTTGAAGGAAAAATCATTAGTGCTTCACCATCACCCATGATAGCTTCTGATGGATAATCCTCCTCAAGTTAACATTTCTATTCCTAGCTTAATAGAAGTTTTTTCTTCTTGTTTTAATCAGTAATGGAAGTTTTTCAAGACCATTTGGACATTCTCATTTATCTTCCCCTAATAAAGTATGTTTTCTAATGTTAAACCAACCCTACTTGGTCTCTGTGTATTATTTAGTACATTACTGGATTCTATTTACTAATATTTTATGTAGGATTCTTTGACCTATAATATAAATGAGATTAAGGTGTGTTATCTTTCCTTTTTGGTGATATATTTGTCAGATTTTAGAATGTGGATCATTTTAGCTTTTCATAATATGCATATTTTTAGTTAAATAACCTCAAATCCCAAGGGTCTTTCTCACCATCACCTTTCCTTTTTGAATAAAAACTAAACTTAACAATTACAGATCCAGAAAGTACTACCAAACAAGCAGTTCTTGCCAAGTGGACTCAAAGCATGTATCGGATAATCATAAATCTCCATCTCCATCAATCAAATAAAGTCCATCATCCTCTGGATGTCCAAGAAGGGAAGTGTGGTTACTGACAAGAGTAGTAAACAAAAAGAGAATGAAGAATTACCATACCCTATCAGCTATACTTTTTTAAACCAGATAGTAGGCTCTTTAACAAAATAAAAATCAGGTCTGAGAATTGAGGAAAGCCAGCCGAGAATACAGGAAACATGCTTCAGGCCAGACCCTAAACCCCTCAGGATGGTCTGTACCCCTGGAGCTAATACCAGTCACATCAGATCAATGAGCTTATGCCAAGGAAAATACTATCAGGGATGCGAGACAAATGTCATATGCCACTTTCCTTATTTGTGGCACCAAACACCTACAAGCTGTGTCATAAACTCTCCTCCTAGATGGTCTCAAGAAATGAGACTCTGCCTGGTATTAAAGTGTTCCAGGATAAATAATAACTGGAATGTTACAGAAGGCAGTGAGAACCATGCATACAACCAACTCAGGGTGGGGAGACACAACGCAGAAGAGGGAAAGAAGCGTGAACAAACTAGTGTCTCTGGGTCTCCTGACCGAAGATCATCTGGATTTACTGTTTTGTTAAACATCAGAAACTACTGTTCAGATATATATCCATGTTATTTATAACGAGGAAGTTTTTTCACTGATGTCAATGTTACTACTGTTCTTATTATAGAATGTATAAGCTGAATTCATAATCCAATTTCAATTATATAGTTTGAGGCTAATTCCTTTAATGATTTAATTCTCACGATTTACACTGTAAATAATCAGATGTTTGTTTTTATGATTAAGTGAGCAGGTATTCACATACCCTAGATATAAAAGAAAATGATATGGCATTTGATATCAAGTATATTGTGTATTTTCTTAATGTCAAATAGGCCAAAAACACTTTTAGAGAAACATACTGTAACCGTATATTTTGGGGGGAAGTGGAGTAGAGGAGGCTTCCTGAAATTTCTTCTGTACTCCTCTTCAAAGGAGACAATCAACACTGGTTGAGTAGGCAGGGAACAAACTGAAAGCATCTACAAAATGTTTCATATACAGAAACACTCCTTACTGTAGTCCAGTATCTATGACTGTCAACCTCTAAGGAATTTCCAGAAACTTCCTGAGCAACAGTGCCACAAGCACAACCTCTGCTGCTTCTAACAAGCCAAATGCCTCACAATGCACAGAACACCAGTGACACAGGGAAGCCTATCCCTTCCCCAAAGAAAGTTCTATTTCTACTAGGATAATATGATTCTAGAGCAGCACTGTCCAGTAGAACTTTCTGCAATAATGGAAATATTCTGTATCTGCTATCCAATATAGTAGCCACTAGCTCTACATGGTTACTAAGCACTTAAAATGTGCTAGTATGACTAATTACAGAATTTTATTTTAATTAAATTTTAATAGCCACATGTGACTTGTGATTACCATATTGACTGTGCAGTTTGTTTTTTAAAAATGATGTGTATGTATACATGTACACACACACACATATTAATCACTATAACAATACTCCCTAGAGTTAAAGAAGAGAAAAGAATGACTTTTAGTGAATATATAATTCAAGGTAGAACTTATAAGCTTCAGCATAGAGCTTCTTAATGACAGAATATAGACTAGGTCCTCTTTCTTTTGTCTATCCTAGCTCTTCTTTAAATGACTAGCAAGAACAATTAGGCATTTTAATGGTGACCTGTCTGTACACTTATGGTCTAGGATAAAATTTTAAATAACGTCTTTTGCCTTGACTAAAGTAGCTAATATTCAACAAGGAAAAGATATGTTCAAATTTGTTCAGGTATGTTCAAAGTAAATGTGAACTTTAACAGTCCTATAATTAAAAGCAGGGCTTCAGGCTTAACCAACAGTTACATCGTCAATGGATTTCTCAAACTATTATTCCTACCAAGGAATTAATAACACCATAATTTATATATATTTGTACCCTCACAATACCCTGGAATAATAATAATAAAAAAAAAATCATTAAAAAAAAAAAAACAAAAAACTTTGCTGAGTATTCTTTCTTCCTATAGCTAATAGGGGGATATCCATAGAATAAACTGTTCCATTTGATCAGAAAAATTTTTGTTATAGACCTTTCTATTTTAAAGCCAGTATTAAGAAGAAAAAGGTGAGAAATACTTTGTGCTTCACCTAATATTATCTTATGGCACATATTTTTATTAAATGGAATTTTTTGGGGTAGGAAAAGATATTCAAGTCTGACTTTTAAGTTATAACACAAATTCATTAAGGATATTAACAACATAGCACATATAGACAGAGCTTCTAAATCTAATTCAGCTATTTAAGGAAAAAAATTCTAGAACATTAAAGTATCTTTACCTCGTAATGAACAAACTGGTCCATTTTCTTGATTCTTAGAGCGCTTACTTCTGAACTGACTTGGAATATCTAGTGAGAGGTCTTAAAAGGAGATAGGAAAACAGCTATTAAAGGCATATCATATAACTATACTCAAAAAGTAATTTCAAAAACTGATGTATTTGTAAAAATTTCTCTTTACTGTCTTATTTTCAAAAGAAACATTAAAATTATTTTAATAAAATATCATATATGCACATGCTAAATATGTCTTACCTAGGAATGGATCAAACTTTCTAGATTCTGTCCCACATATGAGGCAGTTAACCTCATTTTGGAGAATGCCTCCGAATATAGCTGTGACAACAGTAGATGCTCCATTTCTAAAGAAAATCACCACACAGGAAAACATCTCAGTAAAAAACAGTCTCCTTGACATTTAAAAAACTAAAATAAATATTTGTAAAAGCACCTATAGGTGACTCCTTTTGGGGGAATATGTAAATCATTTATATTTATTTAAATTACAAAGTAATGCAAAAAGTTCAAAACCGTATAGACACATAATAAAAGATCATAAGCCACTGGCCTCCCCCAACCCCCTTTCTAATCCTAATATCAAAACAAACAGACCATGTACATGACTACGTGTCAGGCAAGATGACCGCTTCCATACCCTTCCCCCTAGTGTATTCCTCAGAAAACAGAGAACTGCCTTGTTATTTGAATCTTTGCAGGGCCTCTCATAGTACAGGCAATTTTCACAATTACTTGACTTTGAACAACAAAAAGCCTTGTCGACAGCTCATTTAATACTGTAAATATATAATTTCTTTGTAGAGATCAAGAATACACCATTTTAAGAACAATAAAAAAAAAACCTGTCCTAATGCTACTAACGTCTCTGTACCTCTGCTCCATCAAATATAAAACAGGAGTAACAGGAGGAGTACCCACACCTCAGAGGCCCAGCGTGAAGATGAAATCAGTTAAGTATAAGAGCTTTTAGAAGGCTGCTTACCAAAAACAGTGTTTGCCACTATTTTATTAGCACGAAGTCAGATTACACCTGCTTCTTGCTTTTATTTTTTTCCCCAAGTATATGTCTTAAACATGTACCTCATTCTGACAGCTGGCGTGGCTTGTCACATGGACATACAATGGACACAGAACCAAGAAAGTACACCAGTGAGAGCATGGCTAGCAAGCGATTATATAGCACCCACTATATGCAGGCTCCATTCTAGGTATGTTCTTACCATTTATTAAATCGATTTATCTCCACAACAACTCTATAAAGTGAATACCGTTTATCTGAAGTAGATACCTCAAGGAAAGCTGAGGCCCAGAGGTTAAGTAACTTGGCCCAAGGTCACACAGCTGGTCTGGCCTGACCACCTCCTCTTAACACTGCTCCTTCTCTTAATGTAACCAATGTAGTATTAATGGGTACTGAGGTAGTATCCGTTGTGTGCTATCATTAATAGTACTATAATGAACATTGGTATTTTAGCCTTTGTGCACCGATGCAGTTACTTGAGTCAGTATATGTTTTTTTACTAAGAGCAATTTAAGGTAGTTTCTGTTACTTGCAATCAGTTACTCCTAAAACACTCAACTGTACTTTTGACCCACGCCAAATTAAACCTACTGCAATGATGAAGCAGATAAAACCTACCCAAGCAATTCTTTTATTTGAAAAATCTGATTCCTTCTCTAGGAAAGGGCTTCCTTCCTTTACTGGCAAAAGAAATAGGCAGTAACTTTATTACTTTTTTTAAAATGTGGTTCGTAAGACATACTGGCTTTATTAAATTAAAATTTTTAAAAAAAGGAAGACACATTGGGAACTACAGGACACAACAGCCATTTCAGTTTTACTGTGTCATTAACAAAGGACATACCAAAAAAATTTCTACTGAAAATGAAGGGACCATGACTGATCCTTTCATGCTGATGTTCATATACAAAGTTGCAGATGCCTTTAATTAAAATGGAAACTGCTTCATTAGCAGTATATTTAAACTCAATGTAGTTCTTCCTTTATAATCACTTCTTCTGAGAATGGACACTTAACCAAGTCTTGGCTATCTGACATGTATGACATTAAGTTTAGGTGAACCATGACTTAAAACAAGATTTGTAAATAAATTTCAAAATCACTATTCCATTTATTATAACTGCACTTCAAGAGTGTTTAAATATTGACTACTTGGACAGGCTCTTATGCTACTGGGGTCCTTTACATTGGCTCTAATAATTTTCTGTATACTAAAAAGAACGCATCTGCCATTTATTTCTGCCATACCACTACCCTCAACCCCACCCTCAGGAGGGGGTTATGTGTTGATGTGAGTAAACACAGATATTCACAGTAGACTTTTTTCTAGTTTTAGCAAATATCCTTAGATCTTGAAATGCCTCCTCCAATGCACTGAAGGAAATAAAAGGAAACCTGAAATTTTTAGTATTTGATGATAAATTTTTTCTGTTTCTAACTCACTAATGGAACTTACAATTACTGTTCTTTAAAATGTCATAAAAGGGAATGGATTAATATTTAAAACTCATAAGGTACTAAAAGAACATCCTATGAGTATTACGCTATGTGATTCCATGGGGTACTTGGGTATCATATAAAATCATAAAGACATATACCCTCTCACTTCACACAGATTATCCTTGATAGAGCCCAGCTCAATTTCTTTGTGTATGAATATGCCACGATAAAATACAAAGCAGAATTTTTCATTTAATACTATTTTTAATTCGGTGCTAGTAGGAAGAACAATTCTCCCAGGCCACACACAGGTCCTTCCCTTTCTATGTTGGGTTCTAACCGGATTCCTAACTACGGGGAACTGGAGAGACCAACATGTTGAGAAGTGCAGCAATTCACATTGGTTGCCCCTCTCTAACACTGCCAGAGTAGTTATGAGCTGCTTAGTCATTAAAAAGACCTAGTCTTACCCAATCAGATTTATGGACTGTCAAGCAATACTACAGCAACACCTGTATGTTACTTACTCTTTTCTTCTTTTCTCTGAGGAGTCTGTCTTCTTATAAGTCCCTGTCCTGTATAGGTCAATACTGACAAAACTTTAAAAAATTTGAACAAGACTACAACTGACCAAAATCCAGGCTGAAATAATAGTTAAGTCATCCCTTCCTTAAGCAAAATAAATGTTCTGATCTCAATGAGTATTTTGGGCTATCAGCACATGGGAAAGCAATCCGAAAGGTTGTTCTTTTCATACTGAAAGGTAAGAAAAATTTCTGAGAACTTACAAATGCTTCAATTTCATTAAAGAACTGATCAACTTTAGGAAAATTCACACTCAAAACATTTTAAACTTTTTAGTGAACAAATGTAATTATTTTGGTATATGAAAATTCAATCTCCTACCCATTATTCAATACATTTGGAGGAAAATCTTTTAAAAGCTAAATTATATAAATATTTTCTACTATTTTTTCAAGTTTTAAAATGATCTATACCAAATAACGACAATCAGAACTACATCAAGATGCAAATATAAGATACTTCTGATGTGGAAGCAAGAGGCACATGCTAGTCCACTTGCTCACAAAGTTCAAATGCACACAAGTTTCAGCAAATGTCCAGGAAATACCTCTACCATCTATTTAAATATAACGCACAGTAAAACCAACAGAAATGTCTGAGGCCCTCCTAAAAAGCAAAAGGAAACTAAATCTTACATGCAACATTTGTTACTTGCAGATAGAGTCGAATTCTCCTGAAGAATCGTGGAGTGGGAAACACCATTGAAACCATCCTGGAGTTCCAAGTGTAGGTGGTCCAAAAGATAGCGCATGAATTCATGGGCGTCCTGCTGCTGATAGCCCCTTGAAGCAAACAGAAACACTCAGTCACTGGGGAGGCTCTGCCTGCCCAGTCACACAAGCTGTAGGGCGAGGCACTGGGAAGGCCAGCAGCCAGGAGCTCACGAGCACAGCCAGGTTTCCATACCCTCAAACCCGCTAGCTCCATGGGCAGTATGTAAAATCTCTCTTCAGGAAAGAATTCTACTTAAAAATAAGTTTGAAAACCACAGAATATTAGAGCTGGACTTGTAATGATTTCTTCAACTGACCTCCTCACTGCAGAGATGAGGAAGTTGAGGGACCAAAAAAGGGGGTGTGTGACTTGCCTAAGATCCTACAACAAGAGAGTAACAGAAATGGAAATAAACCTGTGTCTCCTGGTGGTCTCTGAATCTTCCCACTGTCCCACATAAGCTTGCTAGAAGATGCTAAAACGTTACAATTTCACCTCTTACCCTCACCAGAAAACCAGGTATAAACCACCACTATAAGAAAGAAGGAATTTAAAACTAACTCCTTAGATTGAAAGCTATTAATTTTTTTTTTTTTTTTTGAGACAGAGTATTGTTCTGTACTAAAGTGCAGTGGTGTCATCATAGCTCACTACAACCTCAAACTCCTGGGCTCAAGCAATCCTCCTGCCTCAGCCTCCTGAGTAGCTGGGACTACAGGCGTGCACTACCACGCCTGGCTAGTTTTTCTATTTTTTGTAGAGATGGGGTCTTGCTCTTGCTTAGGCTGGTCTTGAACTCCTGACCCAAGCGATCCTCCCAGAGTGCTAGGATTATAGGCGGCACCACGCCCAGCCAATATTAATTTTTAAACACTGGCTGAAAGGAAGAAAAACTTTACCTGAAGAGACAGAGATGTCTTACATTTTCTACTTGCATCCTAACCCCTGATTCAAAAGGCATCTTTTAACATATTTTGATTAACACAGCAGAAAAAAAATTTTTTTCCATGGGGCCATGGTATTATATTATGACAACAGAATAATAAAACTCTGAAAACAAAACAATCCTTTCTAATTTAATGAAAAATGTGTTATTTTTAAGGTTTTTTGTGGTTTTTTTCAATAAAAAAGTAATGTGAAAACTTGAAAAATAGTTCGTAAGGGTAAAATGTTTTTCTTGACTTGTTAAGCTTAAGTGTAATTTAAAGGTAAACATAAATAGAAAAATGAAATTTATTGACTTCTATTCATTTAATTCACGGTTTTAGAATTAAAATGTCAGTATTAATTGTAACAATAAGAACATCAACAAGTAAGATTTTCACGAACCAACTACAGGGTTTTGCCCACATTTTGCTTCACAAGGCCCTGGGCTCAAAACTATCATGAGTTAAATACAACTCACATGGCAGTCAACGTTGCTAAACAAATAAATACTTTTAAAAAACACATTGACTCATATATAATTATGCTCTGTCCTAACACTGGGCTCAAGTAATCCTCCCACCTTGTCCTCCCAAACTGCTGGGATAACAGGCGTGAGCCACCACGCCCAGCCCTAAAACTTGAATATATGTAACAACATGTTCTTAGGTTACTTCTTATACATATTCAGACAGGAAACCATATGAACTCTTACATGAATACAGATCAATGACAAGTGAACAGTAATGAAGGTGGACAGAAAACAAAACTGGTACAGCTGGATGGTCATTTAGATAAAACAAATCAAGCAATGTTATATGAAGAACTTTTATAAAACCACAGTAGAAAAGACTTCTGTCTACATTTTGCCACCATGGCAGTTTCTCTCAAATTGATCTTCTAAAATTTTTTCTGGTCTTAAGAGTCAAAACTTCCATCATTCTTCCAGACAATGGTTCTACCAACAAAATTCCTTTCAACCAGAGTTTCCCTCCATATGTATTTTCCCCTTTTTCCTAAAATTTTTCTGGGAAATTATTAATTATGAAAACAATCTCCCTAATCAATGGAATTTAAAAGTCAGAAATCACTTTAGCATTTCACTATAGCTGAACTATTTAGGAACTTAGTATCAATATATGTTCAAGTATTTCTTCTAAAGCTCATATGAATAAAAATGTTAAAATTCACGATCAAAAGGAAAGTTGGTAGTTCCTTTATATATCTAAGGAGGTGCTTTAAACTTACTCAATACAACATCCATTTTTTTCATGACTCAACAGTAAAATCTTTTAGGTTATAAATATCTGAAATTCTATCACATACAAAAAAGTCTAATTCTCTCCCCCAAATAATCCAATATTCAAGTCACCATTTTCCTAAAATGTATCATGAAAACCAGTACCTTCCATTTTCATCAGGTGAAGACATACCCATCCCTTTTTAAAAAAACAATCTGCCTCTTAGTTCTACTTATCCAGGTTAATTATTTTTTTAAATATGCCTAATGTAATGTTTCCAACCACACTATGATTCTCTCTTCTTGTATCAAAATACATTATTTTCTCATGTTTCCTATGCCATTACAAACATATTTTCTGTAACCTACCTGAGATCATGGAACACTAAGCTGTTCTATAAAGTTACGTTATGGGTTTCTGTTGCAACTCCAGAAAATAGTCTCTGCTTCTCTAATTCTGACTGAAGAAATATTTATAATTCCATTTTTAAACATTTAAATGTATCGATTCATGGACTTATCTAAAAAGCCTTTTAATAAACATTATTTAGTACATTAAATTCAACAAATTTCAGTTATCTTTTTAATTATTTCCCAAATTATATAATCTGGGCTTCAGAATTTACTCCATAGTCAACTTAGGTTTCTCTTGCTTGATAATCATGTTAAAGGATTCAGGTGCAGTGTTTATGTTTTTTATATACGTTTCAGCAAGGTCACCCAACAATTGTTTGAGAATTAATGAGGAAATGAATTTATGAAGAACTAACTGGTATCTCTGTGACAGATCAGAACTAAGAAAGGATGACAGAGGGAAAAAACAGTGGCTTCAATTTTAACACTTCCTTCCCTTATTTGTGACCTCAAATACACATTACCACTTCTCCTTAATTAATATTCACAAAAGGAGCACCGGAAAACCTATGTCATAAAAATCTTGTGACGAATCATAGCTGGTGAGCACACTGCAAGCACAGAAAGCCTAAAAGGATCCTGAAGCAACCTTTCTCAGCAGGGGCCGAGAAAGGAACACCACTGAAACACAATGTACAGGAGCACCGGGGCAACTGTCTCTTCGCAACCTTTCACAATCTAAAATGCCTGGGATGTGTTAGAATTTTAACTTCTGTTCATATTTAAAATAACTCTAACATTCACAAGAGAATTCTAAGTTATTATTTTGGCCAAAGTTCTTGCAAACCGAAGTAAGTTAAATTTAGCTATTCCCGTCCAGTATCTGGCACCAATCATGGCTGAGTTTCCTCAAGACAAAAACGCCAGAAGATGAAAATGACAAAAATGATTTTGTGTTTATAAACTCAAACACACAAATATGATAGCAAAATTTCTAGCTAGAAGAACTAATATGGTTTAAATATAAAATATCAACAGGATAGTATTTTTAAATCTTTCTCTATTTACAAATATCCCCAAATATTATCATTAAAATATTACATGTATATATTGCCTATAAAGCCAAGAAGAACAGCTAGAAAACATAAGAATAATGTTTCAGTAATTTATTCACCCACGATTTTTAAACATTAATTATAATAAGAACTGATTTTTTAAAAAAAACTACAGAAAGTTCTGTTTTGGGAAGTCAAGGCAAATATATTCAATCAGGTTGTACATAAATGATCTGATTTGAATTATCAAGAGACTTTCCTGAAGAATGTTAGCATTAAGCTGGATGCTAAAGAAAGAGACAGGGACCCCAAGGCAAACACCGTGAGCAGAAGCACATGCCATATGAATAAACTAAGACAAGACAAAATCATGTTAAGAAAAGCAGGGATTAGTAAAGGCTAGCAGAAAAGACTGTCAAAATTATGAAAGCACATACCCTTTAACCCAGCAATTACTCTTACAGAGCCTTGTATATGTATATAGAAGGCTATTCACTGGTGTGCTGTTTGGAACAGCAAAAGATTAGAAACAATCCATAAAGCCACTGGTGGGGACTATTAAATAAATTATGAAACAACTATAACATGGTCTGAGGAAGTTATTTATATACTCATATGAATCATCTAAGAGTACAGAAAGGATGACACATTGCCAATTATGTTAAAATTACATAAACAAAAACATGCACTTGCTAGTGTATGTACACAGAATATCACTGAATGGATACAGAAAAATGTAGTAACTATGTTGCTGCCAGAAAACAGACAGAATGGCTAGGGAATGGAACAAAAGAAAAAATATTCACTACATATTTCTTTTTACCTTTTGAATTGTGAGGAATGTATACTTTTGGCTATTTAAAAAAATAACCTTTAAAGTATTTTTATGAAAACGGAAAGGACAGAAGGAGCTGGGCACACTAGGAAGTCCCAAGAAGTATGGAAAGTAGACACGTATGTTGGAAGACGTCAAAACTTCAGGAAAATTTCCCCTGCTAGGCTTTTGGTTTGAGTGGGAAAAATGAAAGTATAGGCTTGAGGATTTCTATATCCAAAGCTGTTGGTTACATTTAGAGCGTATATGTTTCTGCGTTCACTTATTAAATGAAAGTTGTTTGCTACTTCTAGATGTATGTTTGTATTTCAGAGTCCTCATATTTCACTCCAAAGGATCAAGCAAGGAAAATGGGCTTTCTAAACTTAAAAAAATTTTACTTTGGGATTCTAAATAAATATAAACATAATTGAAGACTCATGCACTTTCACACAGGCATGCTATGAGAATCTTACCCTGCATACATAATAGGAATGAGAGCCATAAGAAGAAAGCCCCACCTCCCTGCCTCACACCTGGGCGTTGTGCAGTGATGCTGCACTAAACTTCATCCATGATATAATCTCAAGACCTAGATCTCATCAACAGGAAAATTATTCATTGATTACATGAAAATGGGCGACAATCTCAATTACTACAGAAGCAAGAGAAAGCCCAGCTGAGAGTATAAAAGCAGCCTATTCTTATCAGTGATCAAGAGTTCATGTGTATCAGAAATCACCCCAGAGACTCCAGGCTAAATTCCTCCATCTGGGTTACCTTTTCTAAAAGTTCTTTCCCTTCAACAGTAGGAATTTAGAATGTTGAAATTAAGCAACTAAAAACTAAATCATGCTCACAGTTGGGCTACAGAAACTAGAAAGGGCAGAGATGTAGGAAGATTTAGAGGAAAAGTAGAATGCTATTGCATAAAAATATAATATTTCTAAACCTCTCGGAATGAGGGACCTTGGTCACCATGGGGACCAAGGAGAACTATAAAATTAGTGGGCCTCACTCAAAGCATGTGGACAAATTAATGTCAACATGTATATTATTAACCAACTCTGCAAACCTGGATTCTAATTTTGGTCACAACACCTACTTAGATGTATAAGAATGAACAAGTTGCTTCTGCTCTTAGTTTTGTAAATAAATATAAACATAACTCAAGATTCACGTGCTTCCACATAGGCATGTCATAAGAATCTTACCCTGCATACCTAATAGGAATAAGACACCTCCCTGCCTCACACCCCTCTAAAAAGGGGGTAACACTTCCCACCTTGGCTAGAATTTTGTTCTTATTTTTAAGTGAAGATCAGATATAAAATATTTAGCATTTGGCACACAGCAGGCATTCAATAAATGGAAACTATTATTGTATAATAAGACACAAAGATTAAATCTTTATCAAGAGTCTAACTATAGTGATTATGTTAGAAATTTTACATTAAATCCAAACCTGACTAGTGGTTGACAACAGTCATTTCTACCTTTCCTACTTAGAGTCCAGACATTCTAAAATTCTTATAAAATTAGTCTCTCCTAAAGGAAGATTTAAATGGCATGATACATGAAAGAAGTTTCCTTCAAAATAAAGACCAGAGTTAAAATAGTTACTCATGTCAGATCCTCAAGGTTAGACTATTTAGCAAGGCAACAAATTACAGTCCTTTGAAGTTATTATCTTTAAACATTTCTGTATACTAAAAATGTATCTATCAGGCAATACAGCAAGATACATTGTTAAGTTTTACTACATCAAGCTGTTTTTAAAGAAGGAGAGGGATGATATTAGGTGCCAAAATCATGACTAGTAAGATTCCTTCCTGATTTTATCCTTGCTTCAAAAGAATAAAGTCAGCAGAAGGTGGCAAAAGCTGTTGTCAAATACCTGCAGTGCCCCAAATCTGCTATTACCTGAATCCCTACGGGGGCGACTAACCTGGGAGAAGAGGCCAGACTCCTCTGACAGTGAAGCTAGAGAGAATGCACCAGCAACACAGCATGCTATGGCGAGGCTGCAGGCAGCTGCCTTCTGGAGGGTGAATCCTAATGGATTTGGCTACAGTCTTTCAAGAGCTTCAGAACTCAGACCAGAACAGTTACTATAATATTAGGAATTTCCACTGATCACATATGGATTTTTTTAGTTGGAATAATAAGACAGTGTATGATGGTAGTTATTCTTTATAAGATTGTGAGAGAATTAAGGAAATTTTGTCCAGTATGTTTTCTTGGAGCACATAAGTTATTTATAAGGGATTTATTTTTATAACAACAAAATACCCTACCCTTTGTTAAAGACATTTCTAATGTCTATTATTTAAATAAACACATTTGTGTAGTCAGATGTATTCAATTTCTGCTCTTCTTCTAAAAAAAACAAACTAAACCAGTTTTTATTAATATTTACAATGCCACCACCTCATCAGAAATTATTTTAGGAACAGTATACATTGCTAATATTTTAAAAATATCTTTAAGTAATACTTACCTAAAATTCGGCATAATCTTCCAAACAACATAAAATAAGGACTCTGGGCTAAATGCAGTCTGGCTGCCTTGCCATAAAGCACAGAGTGTTTTTCTAAACTCTTCCACCAAAGACCTGGAAAAGACAAAGGGACAATACCCTCAGCATTAGTGAGAAGCTATTTCAATGCATGTCCGATTGTGTAAAATACATAATAAATAAAAAACAAAAGCTTAAAAAGGGTTTGGTTTTCTCTGAACTAAGTCTGACAGCTAAGACCATCTCAAAAATCCCCATAAGTAGCAGTAATTACTGACAAAACTAGTTCTTCTAACCATATGGTTAACTGAGTGTGCCAAAAGCACTGCCATATTTGTACACTCTGAGTTAAAAAAAATACACACAAAAATGACAAAGTAATAGATAAGTTACAAGCCAAATTACTCAAGAATGTACATTTTAAAAACTTAAAAACAGGCCACAGGCTCCCTTTCTCCGTCTCCTCGCCCTCACCAGCACTTCCAGCCCCCAGTGTGCCCCTCGGCTCATCTCCGCCGCAGAGAGCACATGTGGCCACAAGCCTCCACACTCAGCTCTACACCAGGGGCTCTCAGATCCAGATCTGAAAGTCAGATTTTCTCATGACCAGTTTTATTCAGGTTCCTCCAGTTTCCAGAAGGAATTTCCTACTGGAGTTCCTCTGGCCACTTCACTCTCCACGTGTACTAAACTGCTCAAGTACCTCCTACTCTCTGCACTCTCCCTACTCCCGCCCAACATCCATTCCCTTCTCTCATAGGAATGCAACTCCCATTTTTTGCTGGGCATATGAACTCTCAGAATAAAAAACTGAGGGTGTCCAAATTCTGCAAAATTTCCTAAAGAGAAAGAGTAGTCCTTCATATTAATCTCTTCCTTCTTCCCGCTGGCTGGAATGAGGACATAAGGATGCAGCGCCAGCACCACCTTAGACTATGTGAATGGGAGCCCTACCCTAGGGCTGGTGGAACAGAAAGCTACAAGGAGCATGACGACTTTGTCGAACAGCCCTCGATAGATAACCTCTGACTTTGACATGAGAAAACAAACCATGGATGTTTAAGTCATTCTTGATTTTGGTTTTCTATGTATGTAGCTAAACTAATATGCCTCCCCAACTTCAATTTCTCTATCTGTCAATATAAACACCATACTCTTGGATACCTGATTGGTATCTCAGAGAAGCTCAACCTTTGTTATCTAGTAGGCATCTGGGATACAAATCAGACTTTTAACTTTCTAGTACCTGAACCCTCCTCCTATGTCTGGGGAATTCCCCACCTTAAGCCTCCTGGTGGGAGTCAGAGCTTGCCTCCCACTGTAGGGGCTGGGCCTAGAAGAAAGGATGGATGGATGGATGGAAAGAATGTGAGCAGGTGAATGAAGGATCAGGTGAAAACCCCTGCCAGAAGCTGCTTGTTTGCTGAGTGCAAAGGTCAGCTGAAAACAGCTGACCTGTATGGAAGTTGTTAAAGAAATTAACAAACGGCCCTGACCCTTTGCATGTATCCTTGGAAATAAACACAGGGAGGAACTTAGCTGAGGAGGCCATTTTCTTCTCCTTTAGATTTCTCTCCCCTTCTCTCAAAACACTGCGTTTCGAGTAATTATTCATTCCTTCGCTACCGAGCTCAGGAGCGAAAAAGCAGCCGCAACACTCACTACAGAAGCAAAAAAGGCCAGATACTTGCTTTCTCTGTCTCCTTTGCAGTCACAGCACAGGCACTTAGCCTGGGTTCTGCCCATATGAAGCAGGTGTTAATGACATAAAGAAGCAGGGACAGCACCAAATCCTCTCTGGTTGCAGTGGCAGCAGGGAGCATCACCCAGGGTCCAGCGGCAGCAGTAAAAGCAGCAGCAGCATCTACCTGCACCCCTCTCCAGCAGCGCTGGCAAGAGGAACTCTGGCACTGTGCTGGGCAGTGGAGGCAACGGTGTCCTTACAGGACAGTTCAGTGGGGTGACTGTAGCTGTAGTGCTGCGGCCTCAGCTCCAGACCTGATTTTCCACCCATTCAGTAATGGGTAGCTCACCAGTAGCCCTTCAATAAACTCCTTTCTGCCTAAATCAGCCAGAAGCAATTTCTGCAGTCTATAACTAAATCATAAATGACACGAATGCATCAAGTACTACTAATTCTTCCCTTAACTTTCACTCATATGTATTTTTTTCCTCTTCATTTCACTGCTATCCATCCCCCCTCCCCCCCGCAAACCCAATTCCTATAGAGTGAGAAACCTCCTTGAAGGCAGACACTTTCCAGCTCATCCTACATGTTGCTAGCAAAGGAAACTGCCCTGCAAACACCACATGTGTGATGTCACTCCACCCTGCTCCAACGCCTGGCTTCAGAGTGTCCCCATTGTGGCTCTATCCACAATGCCCACCACTCAAACACGTTCTGTCCTGCTCTGCCTCAGCCACCAACACAGGACACAGATCATAAGATGTCCTTTCAGAGTAAGTGGGGATGGAGGTGTGTGAGAGTGGGGATGGGCAGGCAGACAAAACATTAAATACATACATAAGTCATGGCCCCTCTGGAAAGGGGCTGTAAAGCCAAGATATCAAAAATATGCCCCGTACAATCATGATGGTATCTTTTCTGAACACCAAATAAGGCAGGGGATGCACTGAATTTGAATACAGGGTTGGTCCTTAATAATCACTTGTCCGTTTTTTCCCTCTCCATATCAACCAAAAATTGACTGTACTGCCCCGCAATTAATTTGTTGACTACAAATTAATTTAATTATCCAAGACAGGCTTACCTAACACTATCAGACACATCAACGCACAGACTAGTGATATTCAAGCTAGTCGACACCTAGTAGATGTCAACTCTAGAGTGCCCACATCTGCAAAGACCCAACAAGTAGAGCGCTAAATTTTTCCTGCCTGTTACAGTAAATAGAAACACAAAAATTCCAACGGATTAAGATTGCCAGCTAGATACAAATAATTTTTGGAAGAATTTTTTTAAAATGCATGTGCCTATAACTCACATAATATAATGGAAATCATCAGTGAGAGTCATTTGTTTCATAGCTCAAAGCCAGAAAGAACACGCTTATAACTCACACATTGTTGTCCCCTTGGCTCCTGGTGTGGTATGTTCTCCTTCCTGCTGTCTTCCCATTCCTTAACTCCACGGCGGGAAGTTCTTTGAAATAACAGCAAAACTGCTCAATGTTACTATTTTAAAAGGAAGGGAAAAGATTATTTAAAAAAAAGAAAGAAAGAAAGAAAGAAAGAAAATAATTTAATAGGTCTATAAAGTTCTATGAAACCTACATATGAATTGTGGAAGTGTGATTTTTCAATTGTCTCATTTAACTGTACTCAATGCAATCTCTTACACTGAGTTTCTTCCCTATGGTTCTTTGTTCACTCTGCAGTATAGACAGTATAGACATATGACTTTGTAGAAATCAACAAAGAACTTAAAACAAAAACCTACGTTCATAAAAATACCCCATTTTCCCTTCATCTATAGGTTGTCACCATTTCTGTCTGTTCAGGGTGCTTGTTTCCAGGTATTCAATAATTTCCTTAAATAAAGACAAACCATGAAACCAACCGTACTATTTAGACACACTATATAGACTCATAAGGAGAATTCAGTAGTAACTAGAATTTCTTCTTTGAGCAAGAATAAACTGAGAGGCAGTACCTTCAAAAATATCAAATATGGCTTCTGCTCCTTATTAGCCATGTGACCTTGAGAAGAGAATTTATTCTGGCCTTTGATACCTCATTAAAATCTAAAAGTGTACAACTTTCAAAATAATTTCTTCTACAAAACTGAGGTCACACTTGTTGGTTATTTTATTTTTACTACTTGTCTTACATTTTGAAGATTTTTTTTTTTTTTTTTAAGAGAAAGGGTCTTGCTTAGTTGCCCAGGCTGGAGTACAGTGGTGCAGTCATAGCTCACTACAGCCTCAAACTCCTGGGCTCAAGTGATCCTCCTGACTCAGCCTCCTGAGTAGCTGGGATATAGGAATGTGCCACCAGGCCCAGCTAATTTTTTTCATATTTTCTAGAGACAGGTCTCGCTATGTTGTGCAGGCTGGTATTTTGAAGATCTTCTAAACATCTAATCTCATGACCATGCTTAACACTCAACTAATCACTGAAATAAGCTCTCTGAACAAGGGTCCCTGTAGCCCCAGGGGTTTGCAAACTATGGCCCACAGGCCAAACTAGCCCTCAGCCAAGGAGCTCTCAAAGTAAGTTTTATATTTTTAAAATGTTGTTTTAAAAAAGGGGAGGCAGGGAGGGAATATGTGAGAGAGACCATGGTCTAAAAGACTAAAATATTTACCATCTGGCCTTTCACAGAAAAAGTTTGCTGACCCTTGCTCTAGTCTATTCAAGAAGCAATGGGAAATAAACAATAACAGAAAACAGCTATTTACTATCAGGCACTACTCTAAGCACTTTAGACAAATTATACTATTTAATATTCTTCCCAACTACCACATGAGATAGGAACTATTTCCCCCAATTTTGCCAATGAGAAAACTGAGGCACAGGGAACTAAGGTAACTTGCTCCAAGCCATATGGCTAGAGTTAGTGGCAGAGCCAAGATCTGAAGCTGGAGCCCTTGCTCGTAACCTTTAATGTCAGATACCTAAGCTCTGATGTAATGTTACCTGAGTGACTGAAGGATGGCATTCATGAAACATGTGTTCCCCAAATTCCGAAGGCCTGTGGCACAAATGGCAGTGGTGCTTCCCTGTAAAATGAACAAGAAGAGGCCGTCAGTAACGCCAAGGGAAGGCCAACTATTTAAAACATCAAAGATAAGCAAGGACCTCTATTTGAAACTCTAGCACCAACCCAATTTGGAACTGGTCCTTTATGTATCCAATGAATATTTCAAACAAACTCTCTTTCTAGTCTCTGTGTAAATGTCTGTATATTTTTAGAAGGCTGTTTCTGATCCTGGGATTTTTTTAAATGGGAGGATCTTATGAAAGCTTATGAGGAAATCAATAATAAGTTCAATGGAATACACAATGCAAAAAAAAAAAAAATCCAGGAAAATCCTTAAAAGAAATAAAATTTAAGACTTAATTCCTTTATAAGATTCTATTAAAACAGAAATTGAAAAATATAAATATATCTTCCCCAAGTATTTTTGCCCCCAAACTTCTAACCTTAAGCCGTGCATAAATGACCAATGTATAATATGTTTTCCTAGCAATGGGGTATGAACCTTAAAATACTATCTGAACTTAAAGACTTGTCCTTAAAGACTAAAGCTTCGTTTTCTGGTTAAGAAGATATCAAGAACTACTTCCTAAGGCAGAAGAGCAAGTAGTAACTCTGATGGAAGGAAGGCACTGACAGACGGCCTCACAAGGGTCACATCAAGAATCATTAGTAGGGGCCCAGCGCGGTGGCTCACGCCTGTGATCCTAGCACTCTGGGAGGCTGAGACAGGCAGATTGTTTGAGCTCAGGAGTTCGAAACCAGCCTGAGCGAGACCCCGCCTCTACTAAAAATAGAAAGAAATTAATCGGACAACTAAAAATATATAGAAAAAATTAGCCGGGCATGGTGGTGCATGCCTGTAGTCCCAGCGACTCGGGAGGCTGAGGCAGAAGGATTGCTTGAGCCCAGGAATTTGAGGTTGCTGTGAGCTAGGCTGACACCACGGCACTCTAGCCCGGGCAACACAGTGAGACTCTGTCTCCAAAAAAAAAAGAATCATTAGTACGAGCGGCAAACGTTTGTAAAATACCCCAAACCCAAGACACACATTTATAAAAGTTTACAATGAGTAACATTAAATGTTAGAGTTGTAATACAGTTGTAATAAAACAGTGATTAGATCTCAACTAACTCTTATAGTTAAATAAATTTTAATTACTTACATTTACTTTTAATAATTTGCTGTTTAGTGACGAATTTTCCAAAAGTTTCCTTTTCCTATGCCTGTCAGCTGTGAAAGTTGAGCTATTAAAACACAAACAGTGAAAAGATAATACATACATGCTACAGAGCAGGCTGAAGAATAAACTCGAGCTACCCCCAGCATCTAGGGCACTGAGTCCTGCCTGGCTGCATAGTCAGGCCACGAAGTGACCAGTCAGGCCCAGTGTGCACAAAGACTTTGGTTATCATCACTGAGAGTATTTGAAGTTAACCGACAAGTTCCACTTCCTTGGAAGTCCCCACTGGTCCCTGCAAAGGTGGCCAGGTACATGTCTGCTGTGAGACACTCCCTCCCCCTACATCTCCATCTGCCTAATCGATTGTGAAGCTTCAAAAACCAGCAAACTCATTCCTCACAACAAAAGGAAAACCCTGGTCTGACGTAAGTATTCTGAAATTTAACAGTAAGTCTCAAATAATATGCTATTTCTTTCTCAATTTTGATAAAGGTATCATATCTTGCCCCCCCATTTCTCTTAACAGATTAAAAAGTTTAAAATTCAGTTTCTCAGTTGCACTGGCCACTTTTCAAGTATGGCTAGTGACCACCATATTAGTGCCGATTATAGAAAACTTCCACCACTGCAGAAAGTTTCCTTAGACAATGCTGCTCTACAGGATACGCAGAATGGTCTAAAATTAAGTAAAACACAAATGTAATCACAGTTTAAAAATTCCTTTACAAATTAAAGCCTATGTTTGCAAAACATAAAAATGAATTTAAGTAATCTTTTTCAACACAGGAAATGGATCACAACGTAGATCTTTCAGTGGGGCCAAGCAGAAGTGTGAACAAGGTGATCTGGGACACCTTTTACCTGATGAAGTGGTCAATGGAAATGAAAGATTACATAACTGTATGAATACCTGCAGGTTCTCCAATGCCCTCTTTTCCCTTTGACTTAGTTCTGATTAATTCATTTGAGACTGAGAGGGCAGTCTTTTCTTACAGAAAACTATAAATGGCAAAAAAAAAAAAAAAATTCTAGTAGCTACCCACTTCTATAACAAAGAATCATGTTAGTAAGATCTTTACAATTGCATCACTACACCAAAGAGCAACACTACATAAACGACTGCAGGAATCTCCTACCCCTATTGTGAGTAATTTCAGACAAAATTAATTATTTTGGTTCTGTGTGTTTGTACCTGTGTCTCTAATCCTAGGTAGGGCTCATGTTAAAGCACTTTGAAAAAGAAAAGAGCCAAAAGATGACAAGCCAAAAAGTATTCAAACTCAAAGCATTTTAATTGTTTTAGATCTTAAAGAAATCATTCTGTTATCAGTTTTATAACCTATTTAGTCAATGAGACATGCATAAAGACTTTGTTTAACAAACACTACACAGTGTTGCACTCAGGTTATTTCCTCTCAGTATACAATTCTGTAATATTCTGTTGGCTTTACATTTAAGTTTGCTAAGGGACCCGCTTTTGGCATGTTCTCACAACTTCTACACATAAATTGCCAAAATAAATTAGATGGCATTTAACGATTCGGGGTGATTCACACAGATTTCACTTGAGTCAGCAGTCATTGCAGGGCCATGCTTCAAACCACAGTAGCTTCACAGGCATTGCTAGTTAAGTTTCTGTTTTTAGCTTCAATTTAGGGTCCACTAAGTTTTATCTGAATAAGCTATTTGGCTACAGCAAGAAGAGTCTATTCACATAAAATTGTAATTTCTTTATGATAACAAAGTATTCACAGCTCCTTGTAATTTCAAGTGGAATACACTGCCTCTAACAAAAAAGGAAAAGAAGAAACTCAGATCCTGTGCTACTGCATAGATGCAAAGTGGACAATATGATAATTACATCTAATTTCCCTTAAAAATAATGCATAAATCTTAGTGCTTCTTAGCAGTCCTCATAACACGTAAGTGTTGACGGGGATTTTCTAACACCAAAGGTAACTCTATCATGACCGTATATTGTTTTCTGCTCTTTTCTTGCACCTCTAAAAATCCCCCTTGCAAATAAATGGAGCAGCTTATAAATTGGTGGGTAATAATTTAATAATAGGCTCTTGGGTCCTTGGATATGGTTTATGACAAATATTAAACAAAATAAAGGCAGAGCTATAACCATTAACTATGGGCAAAGTTTCAGATATCCAAACCCAAGGTTTATTTTATCATTTCAATCACATTAAAAACATGAAGTTATGAAACTCACAAACAAAATTCCCATTCAAAAATTCTAAAAGACCCCACAACCCCACTTCACCCCCTTCTCTTTCCCAAGGTCCACTACTTACTTTTCCAAGTTCTGTAAGTGTTCTCTGACTTTCTGTACCAGTCCCAGCTTCGTGTCATTAACCACGAAATCATCACAGCGATAACTGCAAGGAAAATATTAATCAATGTATATAAGGAGCTTGAGGAAACCATAGTAATGAAATCACTAAAAGGCCTGGCTGCTGCCAAGATGATCACATGGCTCTGCAGGCAGTTACTGCTGGTGGTAAGTTTAAAGAGGACTTGGAGTCCACAATGGAATGTTGTTTAAGAGCCTTCTTAAAAAGCCACGTAGGCAATGAACACTAGCTTCTTTTCACATTTTTATTCAAAAGCTCTTCAATTCTTCCTTTGAAAATGAAATAAGCTGCTACATGTGTTACATTCTTTTTAGTAGTGCATAATACATGGAAAATGAAATAAAAAGCACTGGTTCTTTTCATGTAGCATTAAGCCTAAAGATTTAAGGTGACACTTCCCAACCCAAATTAATGGAGAATTTGGGGGAGAGGAGATTTAAGTGAAAAGCAGGGAAAGGGTAATTAACCTGTAGGGATATCTGAATAGAAAAACTAAAGTTAAAGCTGTACATTTAAAAAGGTTTAATTAAAGTAAATTGAATTCAGATGAGTTGGGAAGAACAAATCTTTCATTCTGAGGTGCCAGAAAACAAAAAGTATGACACAGTGGCTGTATCTTTAAGGAAACTGATACGTGCTTCGGAGAAAAATATTTAAGGTGTTTTTTAAAACCGATATTAATAGGCGTGTGTGTTTTAGCAAGTAAATTATAGCAAATAATATAAGGAATCACACAATAAAATTTAACTTTTGCATTAGCATTTAATTTTTTCCTCGGATAAGGCCAATTTTAACAAAAACAACTTACAAGCTGGCACTAAGATATTCTTTTGAATGTGCAGCTTTGTATAAAACCACTTGTTATAACTACTAAAGGATAATGAAAATAACACTCCCATTCTGAGCAAACAAAACTTTGAAAGCACAGCAATTAGTAAAAATTAGGTCATCTGTAGCAGAATCCAAGAAAAAATATCTTACATATCTGAAATCAGTCTATTAAAAAAAGAGAAAGGGGTAGGGGAAAGTAATAAACAACAAAGATTACACACAAAAGCATGGATTGTATCCTTTATTCAGAGGAATGAAAATTTTAAGTAAATGCTTCTGAAAACTTTGACGACAATGTCATATATGTAATTACTGAACACAGCCCCCCCCATTAGCTGACCACCCACGCTGTCAATCAAGATTTCTCTAAGGTATTCTCCAAGTCCCCAGGGTCAATTCCTAACATTTAGTCCTTATGTATTTTTAGATTTTGATTCATTGCTAATTTCTAGCACCTAACCATGCCTAATTCTTGCTACTTTTCTTTCTGTAATCTCTCCAAAACTTATCTTTTTTCTTCCCCATTTCAAGCACCATTCTATTCTACACTTTATATTTCCTGTGGTATGATCTCTCTCTCCCCTCTCTCTTATACAGTAACTTTCAAATCCATAGCTATCTGTAGCCAAATTAAGCTATAATATATTTGATGGTCTCCATACTGTCAGCCTTGTCTAGATTTTCTCCATTCCTACCCTTCCCTCCCAATCTTCCCTTTCACTTCAGTGTTACCTGCTCTACTTTTAGATTTAAGCTTTCATCTCATACACCACCAACACCCTTACCCCTCAATATTTTCCATTTCACCCCATTCACTTGTTTATTGGCAAAATGATATTCCACATTTGGTCGTCTCCATCTTTCTTTTCCCATTCTCCAAAATGAAAACATGTGGCATGGCTCAATCATTTTCTTGCCCTAAGATTTAATGTGGGTTTACTTCCTTTAAAAAATTCTAACATTAGAAACACTTGTTTCCTTCCTGGTTTTGCCCTGCACTATACGCCCCCTCTAATTCTTTTATTTTTTTTTTCTTTTCCTTCTCAATGCTGCTGTAGCCCCCTCTAATTCTAAGAGACAAAACAATAGTTAACTAAAAGAAGTCTTCCAACTATTTTCATCAGGCTCATTTAGTCAAAAAATAAACCACAAAACTGAGCATCCACCACCCTCTCTATATAT